CGGAGGACGTCTTTGCTTTAATGATGTTCCATAGCCCCCGCCCCCGTGAGCGGGATGCTGCTAATTCGCACTGACGGTCTGTCATAGAGTCAGATGACTCAGAGGCACATCAGGCACATGTGCCTCCATTGTGCACACCCCCCAATAAATCAGAATGCCGAGGGTTTCAGTGCTACACTTTGTCACATACTTACTACATGCTCTGCCTGCTACAGGGACGGCAGCCAAGAGGGAAAGAGGGATAAGAAGAGAGAGAGTCAGAGAGAACGAAATAGAAAAACAACAGCAGCTATGTAGGCATTCAGGCAAGCCAAAGAGAGATACATTGCTCATTGCTCAGGATAGATCTGCAGTAACTGATGGGAATTTCTGCTGTGGACATTTTGTTTTTGATTTAATGTGTATGATGGTCATATCAGAAATGAGTTTGTTTTTTTTAAATAGAAAAACCTACAGGTTCGCTTGTGTTATTTTTTTGTTATTGTTGTTATGGCCAGATTTATATTTATAATATACTGTATATAGCCTTAGTAGTATAACAAGTAGTATAGTTGTTTCTGAGTATCATAATAGTTGTGTTGATATTGGCTGTGTTGACGTTCAGACCAACAGCACAGTTGCGAGTGTGATCTAGCTTTTGTAGGCTTTTTGCAGGCTTAATAAACAAACAAAATGTTTTTGAGTAACTTAATGTTATAGACAGACATAATATTGTCAGTTACTTTGTATAGTTTTGCCTTGTCCGCAAAAGCCACAGTAAAATTAATCATGCAACAGTTTTGTGGCGTTTCTATGAATCATTCACATCCGAAATCGCATACTCTTATGAGTAGGTTCTCATTTGAAAAAGTACTTTGGGAGCAATAAAAAAGTCCGGACGTACTACATTCGCCATGTTGTCATTATCATTTGACCTACCAGCGCCAGTTACATCGCATTGCTGCCATTCACAAATCCTCTCTTGTGGCCTCATGGGACAATGAAGTGTCCATCGAAATGCACACTTCAGATTCTCTCTCTCCGAAAGTAGTAGGTCATTGGGGTACTTTTTGCCTACTCTTTTATCAGTAGTGTAAATTCTGACAGACTTCTTTTGTCACATACAGTTTTTTCGCCTACTATATAGTAGAGAAGAATGCGATTCCAGATGCAGCCAGTCACTTGATTCACTCTTGAATGAATCAGTGATTTTGAACAGTTGGTCAGGGAATGATTCTTCACTTGTCACCACCTACTGGTGTATTGATGAAATCTGCAGATAGAAAACATAAAGAAGAAATAAATAGGAAAAACTGAAAAAATCCCCATCACTAATACACAGGCTGAGTGTAACAAACAATGAAAAGTCCCAGTTCTGTTGGACTGTATATCAACACTCTTGGAACGCTGCTTATTCAATCAAATTGGTGGACAACAAGTGTGCAAATTATTAAATAAATAATGATTTTATTTTGTGTACAAAAAAGAAGAGTGACGTGTGTATATGAAATATCATTATTGTTAAAATGACTCATTTTGATTATTATCCTGAAACTAAATGTATATGTTCTCTCGTCGTTGATCCCAGCTGCACAGTAAATCTGAGCAGTGCTGCTTCAACCTCGCCAGAGTTCATGGGATTTGTGGTTGCTGTTCACAACACACACAAAAAGTCTGTGCAGGAGAGCTAAAATTAGCTATGGAATGAAATGTCTCAGAAATAGGAAAATTGGACTCAATTACTGGACAATTCCTTATTCAGTCATGTTTTGACCTCTCCTGTGCCAGGAAAATATGAACGTCGTTTAGTAGCAGAGAGAGGAAAAAGAGGAGAGTATGCAGGGAGAGGGAGAATGTATTTGTTAGTCTGTGGCTCTGAGGGTACGCTTGTTTCCAGTGGCACAAATCAACTCTAAATATTACGCTTTGATTAGACCATATGCTTGGCTGTTTTTATACGTTTGACTTCTCAGCATAGGAACAGATCTCACACATTTGATGGCTTGCCAGCCCATCAGTGTGCCAGTGTTTATTTATTACTTTAGTGTTTATTAAGAATTCAGATGTAAGAGGAGAATTAGAAAAAACAAACAGGCATTTCAAGTAGCTTAGACTTCCTAGTTGAAGTTTGCCAAAATAAATAAAGCAATCACATGCACAATTATAGTATTTACAGTATCTACTCAACTACACAACTGCATTATCTTCAGTTCTTTTATAGATTTCAATTCTATAGAGATAATTAAAATGATTAAAATACATTCATAAAAGTCACTTTATCTTGTAAACCATACATTTTAAAAAAAATGTGTTTGTTTTTCTGCTTAAAGGCTGCATTTATTAAATACAGTGAAAACAGAAATATTAAGACATTTTATTACAATTTAAAATAACTGTTTTCTATTCATATTTGTAAAATGTAATTTATTCCTGTGATGGCAAAGCTGAATTTTCAGCATCATTACTCCAGTCTTCAGGGTCACATGATCCTTTAGAAATCATTCTAATATGCTGATTTGGTGCTTAAGAAACATTTCTTATTATCATCAATGTTGAAGTTTAAAAGAACAGCATTTATTTGAAGCAAAAAACTTTTGTTATATTATAATTATCTTTACTGTCACTTTTGATCAATTTAATGTGTCCTTACTGAATACAAGTATTAATTTCTTTTAAAAATTAATCATGTTGACTTTTGACTTTTTATTGACTTTTAATTGGTGTGAGTGTGTGTGTATATACTGTGTGTGTGTGTATATATATACATTTATTTCATAAATATATTTCATAAATATGAACATATTTTATTTCATAAATATAAACGTAAAAAGTATCATATTTGACAACTGAAACCAAATGTATCAAATTTGTCAACAAACATGTCCTATGAGCTTGATCAACTAAATTGTATACCTTATATTAAGCTATATGTAATAAAAAGAAAAGTCAACATGTCAACAAAAGTAGAAATAACTGTGAACGTTAACAGTGCAGTTGCAGTGCTTTCAGTATCTTGTGTTACTGTCTATTGCAAGAGATCATAATTCATGGGATGTTTTCCCACAAATTTTGGCAGGCAAAAGGCTTACGTTTCTGGACCAGTGTGACGTGTTGGTGCTGCTCTGGCATAATAAGTATGGATTGTTTATCTGGCCAGCTGAAATCTTCTTGGACTTAGATGAGCAGCCTATGTAGTGTCTTGCCACTTTGGTACGTGACATGAGCAACAGCACGTCATCCCGTGGCCCTCGCTCTTGCCACAGCTGGCATTTTAGGCATTGTGGAATGCACTGAAAATGACTAATTGTGGGCTTTCTTGCACTGATGACCTACAACTTATCTGGCATGGATTTGGCCTCTATGGTTAAAAGTGCATGTACTTTTTTTCTTTCAGGCGATTGTCCCATTGTAAATTCAAGCTGTGTTGTAAATGACCTGAAGGAATAGTTCAACGAAAACTGTAAATTCTCACCTGTTCTCACTCGTTCCAACCCTGAAATACTTTCTTTCTTCAGTCACTCAAAAGGAGATGTTAGGCAGACTGCTGTCTTATTCCATAGCATATTTTCCATACAATGAAAGTAAATGTTGACTGAGGCTGTCATTCTGCCTAACATCTCCTATATAGCGCTATAGATTTATGACATACTTTCATTTTCAAAAGTGTTTTTCCATTTATATATGTTTATAATGTGCACAAGTTTGCTTTTGTGTCGAGAAGAATATGCATGGTATTGCCTAAGGCGAATATCCAACAGCATGTTTGTGTCCTTGACGGGCACTGCGGGAAAGGGACGCTACTGGGTTGTTCCAGATGGAAGTGAGCGACCAAATACCGAGGCCATTATAGGGTACATGTGATGGAGGAAGTCATTTTAAAATGTATGGTCATGTGATCCTGAGTGGTGTATCCTGATTAATTTTGAACACTGAGGTTCTACAACAGTCTTAACAGTATGAATTTTACTCTTATATTATGAAGATATAAGTATAAGGCAGTAACCTACACTACCATTCAAAAGTTTGGGTTCAAAAGCATATAAAACATATTATATGTTTTAGATTAATTATTTATTTCTTTTATTCAGTAGGGACACATTAAATTGATCAAAAATGACAGTATGACAATTATAATGTTGCAAAAATAAAATGCTGTTCTTTTGAACTTTCTGTTGATCAAAGAAACCTGAAAAAAAATATTAAGCAGTTTATTTTCAACTTTTTTCAACATTGATAAGAATAATAAATGTTTCTTGAGCATCAATTCAGCATATTGATTTCTGAAGGATCATGTGACACTGAAGACTGGAGAAATGATGCTGAAAATTCAGCTTTGCTATCACAGGAAAAAAAATACTGGTACATTTTTAAATATATTAAAACAATTCATTTTAAATTGTTATATTTCACAATATTGCTGCTTTTAATGTATTTTTGATAACATAAATGCAGTCTTGATGAGCATAAAATACTTATTTCAAAAAAAAAAAAAAATTTGACCCTAAACTTTTGATCCAATTTGATATAAATGTATATATTTTGAGCCAATTCAATATATCATTGTGCCACAAATGAGACAATTATCCCAGAGAGTGCTCACTTCAAGTGCCCTTTGGGTTGAGTATAGGGCACTTTTGAATTAATTCACCTTTAATATCATTAGCTTGTTGTTATTGTTGTTGTTGAGCAATGGTAAATAACTGTATGTTCTTTATAGGTGAAGGTTGTCTGGGTTCATGTGCCAGACGGGACAATTTTCTTTGTGTCACTTGACACTGCTCTTCATTGTCACTGTAAATAATGACTCCGTAATGACGTTGAGGAAACTCTTACTTTAATTTCCTTCTATGCCAGGTGAAGGACCTAGAGTAAAATATGATAGTTGACCATTTAACTGGTAAAAGTCAGTAATCAAATACTTTTTTTTCCCTTTTTGTTGCAGTGTTGTGAGTCTTGTCTATGAGAGACTTTTCCGTCAGACTTTGGACTCCCACAGAGGGGAACAGCCATGACTGACAGTCACTGGACGGCAAGTGGACGGGACGGACCCTTCGACACAGGTGTCACTGAAGCTACTGCTGGACATCAGATAGACACTGGACATCAGACACTGCAGCCTCTCCGCTGAGCATTAAGACAGGAAGTCCATCATTAAGCCAGGTGTCAAACTGTTTAAGATCCGCCCCAATAAATGCCTTAAAGACACAGTATACTACATCTACACTACATGTAGAGGAACCTGCAGCAGGAGTCTTCTATAAAAAAAGCTTGACATGTTTTCATTTTTCTCTTTATGAGTGAATCAGTGTCTTGCAAGAACAGACGTGAATATTTTCTTATAATAGAGAAATATTTGTTTGGGTGTAATCCTGCCACTTGTTTTTTTTTGTGTGGTAGGCCTGGTGAAAGCTGTTAAATATAAGTGAAGGGAAAGTCTACTGTCTGTCTGTGGCAGCCTCTTCCATCTAGTTTTATCTCTTTTCATTTCCTAAACCAAAAGACTGCCAGCTGAAACGGAGAAATTCAGCGGCAGTGCTCAATGATGTCAGTCTGGACGGGTCACAAATTTTCAGTATGAATGCAGGGTCAAATCACATTCCCCTCAGCACCTGACTCATTGCTTTTGCTCAAATTTTCAATGATTAAGATCAGTCTGCTTTTAGGTTAGAGTATCTGTGTCTGTGTCATCAAAACCCTAAATGTTTTTAAAGGGATAGTTGGCCCAAAGATCCTGAAAATGCTGTTATTTACTTACCCATATCATGTTATTCCAAACCTGTATGACTTTATTTTTTCTGCAAAATACCTTAGTGTTTTTTATCCATACAATGCAAGTCAATAGCTACGTTTACATGCACCCAAATAATCTATTTGCAGAACATGATTTCACCGAGTACAACATGTTCCTGGATCAACATCTTTGTTGATCCTGGAACAACATTCCAATCAACCAATCAGATTTGAGGGATAAGTTCACAGTTTATTTCAAGCTTAGGCTTACAACCAGGGTGAGGTGCTTCATTTCCCTCTGATTTTAGGGATAACTTATGGGTAGGGGTTAGGTTTAAGGGTAAGGATATGGTTAGGATTACATTTTCGGACAGGAGTGTTTTTCCAGGATCAACAAAATATGTTGATCCAGGCACACGTCTAACTCGGAAAAATCAGGACATGCAGTCTATTTATAGTCAGATTGAAGGCTCAGTCAGACTAAAACAAGTACATGTAAACATCTCTATTAATTAAAATTTCGATCAGATTGAATGGGATAGTGTAGACCTGAAGTAACAGAAAAAAACGCTTGAATCTCAATTTTTCATAAATACCTTGCAGACATGCGCAGTGCTGTCATATGTACTATTTGCGTTTTACATCTTACGAACGTGTGTATGTTTAATTCTCACGTCTTACGAACTGGTCAGTGGAGGAGACTATATTTACTAAACATTTGCTAAAAAGCTCTTGTGACATACATGTAAGCTTTCTTTTTTAGCTATATCATGAAGGCAAAAACTACCGTACCTTTATACTCGCGTAGCTCCAGGGATGTTATCGCAGTGGCTTTCGCTACTTAAAGGGGTAGTTCACCCAAAAATGAAAATTCTGTCATCATTTACTCACCCTCAAGTTGTTCCAAACCTGTATGAATTTCTTTCTTCTACTGAATACAAAAGAAGATCTTTTGAAGATTGTCGGTAACCAAACATTTGATAGTCTATGAAATACTATGAAGGTCAATGGGGCCCATCCACTGTTTGGTCACCGGCATTCTTCAAAATATCTTCTTTTGTATTCAGCAGAAGAAAGAAATTCATACAGGTTTAGATCAACTTCAGGGTCTTTCCCTTTATCCCCGAATATGTCAATCGGATTGCAATGTTTAAGGTTCATATAAACGAAGCATTTAGAATCTGAAATTTGAATGACGGAAATAAGTGCATGTAAGCATACCTAATGTGGTCCACTGTTTTGGACCCCACTAACTTTCATTGTATGAACAGAAACATTCTTTAAAATACCTTTTTTTGTGTTTTGCAGAAGAAAGAAAGTCATACAGGTTTGGAACGACATGAGGGTGAGTAAATAGTTTTTGGGTGAACTGTCCCTTTCACACCCAGTGGAGTAAAACAGTAATCAGTAATAGTTATCTGAATAATAGACCTATATGTTTGGTGGCCTTCATGGTCTCCAAGGTGCAGATAAATGATGAAGGTTGAATTGTGGGTGCCATCAGGTTTGGTGGACAGCTGGTTATTCATTTGAGATGGTGCATTACTGGACTGATGCCCAGAGCTCAGATGGTGAGCTGAGTCTGCATCCTCTTTAAATATCAGCGATGACCCACTACAGAGTTTGGTTAATAAATTTTACCCATCCGTCTTATCGCAACAGGAATAACACTGCTCTGCTGTTGTGGACTGGGAATTTTGGTATTGCAGTTCAATTCGCCTCTTTGCAAAACCCACTAAAAATAGTGCCATCAAACAGAAGACTGCAAATTACAGTGCCACACATCGACAGCAAGACAATAAAGCCACATATAAACAGATCTGCAAGTCATATTCCAGGTTAACTTACACTCCCTCTCTCTCTGTTGGGAGACACAGCAACAGAAAGAGACGATACTCTCTCTCTCTGAAATGACTGCCCCACAATCCTCCCTGTCTCTGTCTCTCTTTTCATCTCCCACTCCTTTTTTGTTCTTTGTCTTTTGCTCTCCTTCCCTGCCTATCTGACATGCAACCAAGCATGCAGACTTATGCACACAGTTGTCTTCTCTTTCTCTGTCCCTCTCTATCTTTGTCTGTCTGTCTTTCTTTCCTGTCGGAACTACTCTGAATTAGGCGACGTGTCGATTTTTGGATAAAAGTAGTCTGATCTTATAGAATTACAACACAAACTATTTCTAGAATGAACCAGCTGCTTCGTTGTCATGGAAATACATCCAAGTAATCTGTATGCAAAGTTCTATGGAAGTGTACTATCTATTTTTTTAAATCTAGCCTTGAATATTATATAACCAAAGTCGAACCCTGAAAATCTATGTTCTATGTTTGGACCTCTTTTTATTTCTTGAAGAGATTTAGTCCTAGTAAAAATAGATGCACATGAAACACGACGTATGTACATAAGCAGATGTCTATTTTATTGTGTCCTCAAGGTCACGTGTCAGATCTACTTTTTGACTGTTAGCCTTCTCGAGTCCCAGGCCCTATTTTTCTCGTTCTCTTAATTCTTAATGGTTTTGTGCACCTTGTGGAAGCCGATCCTGCCAGTTGCAGACTCTCTCTCCTCAGCTCTCTCTCTCTTTTTCGCGTGTGTGTTAGTTAGTTGACTGGACTCTCTAGCAGAGGACCACTTGCTGAGTGCTTTTCATAAACTGAAGGCGAGATCATCAGGTGGATCAGCGCCATGAAGCAACTAAACATGGCGCGTTGCGTCACGTCACATGTTGTAGATCTGCATGTGACTTTAATATGTAAATATGTGTTAGTGCTGTCACCACGACACGTGCTCGATGCAGTGGATCGGAATGGTTTACACTTCAGAACAAACGAATTCCTTAACATTCGCACGGCTAAGATGCACACGGCTCTTTCATTACACACTGAGTCAACAGCCAAGAATTACCAGCCAACCGTGAGACTATGTTACCATGGAGATGCTCTGCCAGTGCTGACTGGTCAGCTGGCTTTGGAGGAAAAGGAAGCTTTGCTCTGTGAAAGAAGCAGAATTATGAGTTAGACCATATCAGCACATCCTCTCATTGAGTTGATCGATTATTTTGTTCATATTCAACTTGCTGCGATTAAACGGTGGCTGATTTACTGATTTACACAGGAATATGTAATGCAATGGAGAGATATCTAAAATCTCACTTATTTGATTCACACACACACACACGATATTACCAGTATGAATTTTGTTTGACTATTAGGGTTGCACTGACAATAAAATGTATACCAATAATTATTTTTACGTCATGGCTGATAGATGAAATTAAGATTTTATGCTATTTGGTTTGAATACATTTTAAAATAAAACTAAAATAAATTGTTTTTAGCAATACAACATTATAATGTAAAGGAAATGAGATTGCTCAAGGTGACATTGAACAGTGTTATTGAATTAATAGTGTTTTAAAGTTAAAGTATCTAAATGTAAAAGCGGAAATGAGCATGCACAAAATTATATTCAGTATCGACTGACATCTACAATATATAAAGTAAAAAAATCTCTATTTGATTTCCAGGTACTGTGTGAGAGATACTGAGTCAAAATGAAGAGAATCTTTAGAAAATATAGCAATCATAGAAAGAGAACCTTAGTACACCAGTGTGATATTTGATGTAACGTATGACAATAAAAAATCTGTTGTGGCTTTCATTACAGCATTAAATATATTGTACTTTGTGTACAAGTGACTGTCTGCTCATTGTTAATGGACTTCAGTGAGCTTAGATAAATTTTTTCAGAATCATGATTAAGCATTTTTTCACTTTTGTAAAGTGTCGTAATGGACAGAGTTACCAGTGTAACGCTTGGCTGCTCACACAGTAATGAAACCGCAGGAGAACACTGCTGACTGAAAAAGATCTCTTTCAATTACCAGATCAACTTACTTCTGGTGTCCATCATACAGCACTGTATACAGCTAAGTCACTAACCAAACACAGGCAATCGCACGCCAGAAATAGGAATCTAATATCGGATCATTTTGGTAATCACAGGTGTATTTCCACTCTGATGAGAGGTGTGTTGGGTCAGCTTTTGTGCCTCCTATCAAGCATGCAGAGGGAGATGCGCTCGGTGAGTCTGTGTTCGTTCGATGAACAATCTGGACGGCAGGAAATCCCCCCCCTGGTTATAGTAAATAAATAACCAGATGTTCCTCTATTCATGTGAGTTTTGGATGGGCTTGCCATTTCTTTCTGCATGTGCTTTGGTTTTAAAAACTTGCATCCTGATTGACAATGTATTTGTGTTATTTATTTATTACTTTTTTTTCTTTCTTTCTTTTTTTTGTATATCGGAGACCCTGTATCATTTCTTTCTTTCTGTTCCTTTTTTTGTGGGGGTTAATTCATCAATCTTCTGGATTTTTCTACATGCATATCATTTTGTAGGCAGCAATATGAGATGTGATGGAATTGAAATTATGTGCAATGTTGAAAATTAAAAAAAAAAAAACATAATATATTAAATAAAAATGAAGAAGGCCATTTTTATCTCTCTTTTGTGTGTGTGCATTTTTGAACAAATCTTCCACTTCTGAGATTGTGTGTATATGTGACAGTCGATATAGTCGAGAGACTTACAAGTCTCTCGCCATGTGTTCGTACCGTCTCCAACTAAGACCTGTGACCGAGGACAAAGAGTTTTGCCATTAAGGGACATTTTCTGATGCAAGGGCCCATGGACTTGTTTTTGACACCTGATCCTCCAGTCATTCATGTACGGCAGCGTTTAAATATTTAACATGGAAGCAGCATGGAGTAATTACTTGACTCTTGGATTTGCTCCAGACGCAGGAGCTGAACTCCCACTGAAGACAATGTGCCTGAGCTCACACCCTGCAAACAAAATAGCACTGCGCCACGCTCCATCTAGGGTCACACGCATACGCTCAAATGCGGCGATGTAAACACAATAACACTTGAATGTTGATGTCGTCCTTCCCCTTTTACGCACATTCACTTGTCCACACCAGTGCACCAAAAATAAATGAGGTGTTAATTAGTCCCAGTCTTATCTCCTGCCATTGTCTGACTTCAGGGAAAAGTCACCAGTGGCTAAGACGAGAGTCGACAGGTACTAGGGTACAGGTGACCTTTCTACTTTAATTATAGATTGTCCCAATCTCTGTGGGCTTCTTTATTTACTGTAAACTGCAGAAGCTGACATGGAAAGAGACAGATTTGTCTTTGTGTGTTTGCATTCCGCCTTGAAGGTCAGTGCCTGTGGACTCTGGGCTACGGACGCAGGGTGTAAATCAGCGCTGGGGTACTGATATTTATAGACTAGCGCCCATCATTGTTGTCTGTAAAACGGGGGTGAACTTGCCAGAGGACCCGGAACAATCTGTGAAGTCTACCCGTCTTTGCTTCCACTCCAGCTTGCTTCGTCACACTTACGTAACATTTCTGACGTGGAATGTCAGCTGTCACATTCGCATTAGCTGTGTCCGAACATGTTTGTTACCATTGGCTGGAACAGTCAGGGTGCAAACGCACATTTATGTAGACTGGCTCGCCAATGTGCTTGTCGTGTTTGGTCTGAGGAGCACGATACTATATGCATCACCCTCATGCAAGGTCATTGAATGAAACAGGCCAAGAGTAGTATTATATTTAGTTTGGAGTCAGTCTTGCTGGCTTTGAGTTGGAGCTTGTGGCTGTCTTCCAGGAATTGGCCACATCACTCAAAGGTGTAACATTAAACCTGACACAGAACAATAGCCAAGCACATGGTGGGCATTCTGTAGCGTTCACACTACCAGGAAACGTGGCAGTAAGTGGCTAGCCTTATCCCTAATGCTGCTGGAAACATAATGCCCAGCCTGTTACTGTCCCTAGAAATTCGACACCATTTAACGCTCCAACAGTTTCTTTTAACCTCTCTCTGCGCCGTACTCCTGGTTCCTCTCTTTTCACTCTAATCTCCCCCATTCTTAGGTTCCCCCAACTCATCCACAGATAAAAGTCCAATCTCTCTCCTGCTATGCTATTGTGCCCTTTTCCTCATCACGAATCTGTACCCTAATTACCAGCTCTTTTCCCAGGGCTTCTCCAGACGGCGTTTGATTTTCAAGCAATTAAAGCAATCAAGTGATAATCAAAATTTTGATTTGCCCAAAAATGATCGTCGGTCATGGCCAGTGAAAGATTTAGCCAAATTATTTCCCCCCTTTGAACTGCAATTGAGGAAGAGATCAATTGTGATTTAACATCATTTATGAGATATGTGCGTAATAAAAGACATCCTCGTCGTTATATGCATATCTTTTAATTGATAAGCTTTGAATGTTTGCCTTGTGACAACACTAACTACCATCTATCTTTTGAGTTCAAAGGTCATGGCTTTATGGTTGCCTTTGTCAAAGTTAAGGTCATAGTTCTAATTTTAAAAACATGCGTCGACATCAGGGTTGTGAGCCATTAAGAACTGTAATTTTAACTATAAAGGGTTATCCAGGTCATCTTTGAACGTTAACATAACAGAGTTTTTAAAGTTTTCTTTTTAAGCCTTACAATTCAGTAAATTTCTTTTCCTGACATCCCAATTCAACTTCCTGTTGGGTGTGGCCAAGTCAATTGAATTGCAACTC